TGGAAATCAGCATGACAAAGGTTACCTCGGCCCTGAGTGGCCACTGGCCATGGCAAAACGAATCAAGTCTTAGAAGAAGCAGGATGGGGTTCACCATACACTCAGCCCCCCCATACACTCAGCCCCCTGTACATTCAGCCCCCTGTACACTCAGCCCCCCCATACGCTCAGCCCCCTGTACATTCAGCCCCCTGTACGCTCAGCTTCCTGTACATTCAGCCCTCTGTACATTCAGCCCCCTGTACGCTCAGCTTCCTGTACATTCAGCCCACCATACGCTCTCATTTGTCAGCCGCTATTGAGTAAAGAGGTAGGGCTGCACTAAAAGCCGGTGTGATCAGTCTCAGCAGAGGACACAGCGTCAAGCTGGAAGGGGGGGCTTCTCGCTATTCTCTGTCAGATAGCAGACTTCATATATATTTTATCTTAAGAGTTAATGTGCTGATTGTCCAAAGCACAAAATCTAGAAAGTCTGGTGTATTTGAAAAACCGTAGTAGTAGATGTGAGATAATAGGTTTACCCATTGTCTAAATAAAATTGAGTTATCAGCAGATCACATGGTCAGCCTCTGTAGCACCATAGCGTGACTAAACTGCGTGTTTGGGGCAGCTAGGCTTTAACATGAATAGACAAAACATCCGATGGCTTTTACTTCCTGTTACTTAAATTTCAGTCCATTTAGAAGGTCAAAGAAGGTCCTGCCTTCTACAGCACTGCATCCCCTAATCATGAAAGTCTGCTCCTCTGTATTAGCGGAAAAGTTTTCTTGCTCTACACCAGCGGTGGGCAGTCTTATCCGCAAAGGGCCGGTGTGTATGCAGGTTTTTCGGATAACCTGTAGGTCAGCTGTTCAAACACAGATGTGAGGATCAGCCAATCAGTCCTCTAATTAGTAACTAATTAGGGAGCTGCAGCAAAACCCCACATACACACCAGCCCTTTGCGGATAAGATTGGCCACCCCTGCTCTACACGGACACACAAGTGTTACCCTCCTGGGATTCGAATACACAAAACAAGTGGTCTGTATACTATTGAATCCCTGTGTATCATTATGTTAACCCACAGATCGTATGATAAAACCTCAGTTGGCCCACAGAGCCACAGCGACACAAAGATCGAAAACACAGGAGAAAGCAAGGAGGAAGGCAAACAGAGGAGGTATTACCTCACTGGCGGCCTTTCATTATCCCAAACGACGACATCAAAACAAATTCAGCCCGTCTTCACGTCATACCTCCCTCTTCTTCCTAACAGATCTGTGTGCACAGGAAACATTTCCCTAAAAATTATACGATTCATAGGATGAACCAGTTTCATAGAGAATCCTAAAAAATCGCATCTTTGAAAAACATAAATGTATCGATGAGTATCACTTGTCCACAATATGCCGACTGATGTCTACAGAAGGGGCCACCCATTTGCCCCTGACATGCGGCGATGTTGACGGCTGCAGATGGTCAGTCTCCCGGCAGCAGCTGCAGATCGGGCAGGAGCACACGGAGCGTGTAGTCACGAGAGGAGCGAGTTCCCGGGTGGCTCTCTGCTGGGCCACCGCTCTCTGGTCAGTGACACAGGCGGAGCAGTGCTGACCCTCGACTTCCCTGTATGGAGAACAATCTGGAGGGTCCTGTGGTTTTGGCAAAAATCAGGGTGGCAGTTCATCCTACCCTCTAAGCGGAGCCTGCTTTGTACCCCACAATGCACTTAGGGGGAACCATAAAGTGCACAATCTGACTGGAATCATCTCGGTCCTCAGCCTATAAGGCAATGACAGCCAACATGTACTACAGCGTTTTCAATAGCAGCAGCAGGGACCTAAAACGGTCGGTTTTCTCCATGATGCCTGGCTGATGGATACAGGGCCTTTGGCGGAGCTTTTCTTAATAATGCATCTGCAGAACAAACCTGTTGTCAGGCAGCCAGCTGGGGGCCTGGGAGACAGACGCTTCGTGCTTGACAGGCCGTTTGAAGGATTCAGTCATTCCTTTATTACATTACAGAGGGATATCCTTTGCTACACATAAAATTTTGACAGCAGTTGCTGTACATACTTCATGTAGCCTCCCTTCTACCACAGTATATATAATCGGATCATTTGCTGTAGAATAACTTCGCCGTTGTGTTAGTTGGAAGCTCGCTTTACTTGGCCTTTCAGTTGCAGTGAACCTCATAGCTGGCTGACTGAGCGCAGTGTGTCACCAGGTCATAAAAAAATGTACGCAAATTATCAGTGTTCTTTCACTGAAAAAAAGGCACTTGCAGCATTGAGCTGGAACAAAACTGTGCTATATTAAACCAGGAGCATTAAAAGATGGTATTCCGGTAAATGATACGATCCCCGAGGTATATGCAAATGAATTGTCTGGCAAAGAGTCGGTGGTATAGCTGTGCCAGAATGAGCAGTCTCTGGCGAGGCAGAGAGGCAGAGAGGAAGCCTCGTCAACTTAACAAATTGGGGTATGCCATCATTCATAATTAGCAGGGAAATGTAACCACCTGCTCTCTTTGCTGAAAAAGTAGCAGTTTTGTTGCTCAGCTGGGATGCTGAGTGATGGAAATGATACATGTGAGTGCGGGATAGGCCGCCGGCGGAGGCTGAGTCGCACGCAGGCGTATGCTCACTGTGTTTAATTCAGCGGCAATCACTGAAGGTGCGCGGATTTGGCTGGGAAACCCTGGCTGTATATTACAGGAAAGCTGCTCAGAGTGACAGCGCTGCCATATTTAATGGAATCATTCAACACAAACACACCGCCGTAGATGAGATGCCTCATGGAAATGCCCAAGGCGGATAAAAGGCTGTCATGAAAGCCGGCTTGACGCTCATCTTATGTTCATCCCCCTTTTCATCTTACGGAGTGCACAAGGTCAGCCAGAGGTACCCGTGAAAGGAAGATGTGGACTCTTTCCATTCCGCCTGCCGAATGCATGTCTCAGTCATTTATTTTCATATCGCACCAGTAAGTTGCACGGCAGAGGCTCAGGATGCTGGCTGTGTCGCAGAATCCCACCCAGCAACTGCGGTAGAAACTGCTTTATTTTTAAACGAAGCTGCTTTAGCAGCTTACTGTGTGTCTAACAGTCTAAACACAGTTTTTGTTTTGTGTCTATCAAGAGAGCTTCAGGTTTGCAGTCGTGGGCAGCCTGTCCTGAGGAGGCTGTGCTTTACTGCGCGTGGTGCAGGACTAGAGGTGGACGCCAGCCATGCTCTCTGTCTCTCGGTGTCTGGAATCTTCTCTGCCTCTCTAAACAGGACAGCTATAATACTGTCAAATTTGTCTCCGGATTCATCTAATTAGCAATGCAAATGCTGGGGCTTGTGCTGACCTGATGGTCATTGGACATTTCCCTTACGTCTGGCGTGTGATTGATACCAGCCCTTCGTGACACACCATTTTCAGGCTGAGTGCATTCATCTCTGAAGGAGGGGATGGCCCTGTCTTACCAAAAGGGGGCGCTGTTTGGAGACTGAGTCTGTGGGATGTTATGCAGATGGCTGTGGAGGAGAAGCGTCAGAGATATCCCAGCTCCACCTATGCTGTCAAATTCTCCAGATATCACATGAGGGGACTTTCAGCCGTGCAGCAACACGTCAGCTGCTCTTAAGCATTAAAGGAAACAACGAAAATGGTGTGGTGTTCTGTCGACTGCCGTATATATGAAGAGCCCCTATTTTCATGTTTGAAACCTGCGTTTCATCAAGTGTTCTATAATTTATTGTTTTTACTGGCAGTGGGCGTCTGTGTGGCTGTTTCGCTTCCATCTTCATTCCTGCAGCCACCCAAATGAAATTAAGGTGATGCATCCAAAGACAGCGGCCAACAGGATTTCTTTCAGGGATTACACTGGCTCCTGTTAGGGTGACAGGTGATCTGGGCTCCAAAAAAAGAGAGAAAATAATGTGCTTTATTTTAGCCAGAACTACCCACGTGCTTCTGGCCAGGAGGCATGAAGTCTAAGGCTACTTAAAAGGCCAGCATTAAAGTGGCAGAAGAGGGAGCTCATTGTCCTTGTAATGTCTCTTATGTGTCGCTCCATGTGATTCATGTAGAAATCTTTTCCCAGTTACTAAATTCATTCGGCTGTCCTTAAGACCTTATTAAAGACAAAGCACAGCTATCAAAGGTGTCAGAGGGGCGAGACGTGCTCCTGACCTTGGAGTGAGAGGTTATGCTTTCCCGCCGTCATGCCAGGCCGCCTCAGCTGGCGGCCGTGTGCTGGCTCCTGTCAAGAATAACCCCCCGATGGACTAAATAGCCACCTTTTGTACAAAAATATGAAGGCGGCCATAAATGTATCGCGGGGTTTCTCAACATAATTTTTCATTTTGTAACACTAATCGTTTCACCGAGTGACATGGATATGTGGAGTTGTCTACCATGTTTCTGTGATCATCTTTTTTCTACAATGCTGCTTTAACTGAAAAAGAAAAACAATACTTTAAGTGCCCTATTGAGTGGGGCATTTGTGTAAGACTTGCATCTGGATAATTATGTTGCAGTTTCTCTCTCTGCCAGTCATGTGGAAAAGATAATGCTTGAGCAAGGTGAAATCTGCCCCGTCTCTCAAAGCTGTTTTGCCGTAAAGCACGAATGTAAAGTTAATGGTGCCAATGATTACTGATTAGTTTTCAAAATAAATGCCATTTTACCTTCAGTTTTTTTTATGCAGTTAAAAAGAGTAAGTAGATATGCACATATATCCACACATATGCTGGTTGTATAAATATAGATAAATGGCGTGTTGCACTGTACCGTTGAAGCGAGCCATTATGGTCCACAGACTGCAAAGAAACAGAGGCATCTCAAATACTGCACGTGTCACCAACAAATCTGTCATTTTAATTTAAGGTAAAGAGTAAATGAGTACTATATATATATATATATATATATATATATATATATATATATATATATATATATAAAAACGTTAAGCATGCACTTGTCATTATATAATTTGATTATGTAACATATACAGCCCAGTGTGCGACATGACACGCACGCATAGGAGACCGGTCTGTGAACCTGAAGCATCCGGTAGATGGCAGTGAACGGTCTCAGGTACCCACCGGAGACCCAGCCTGCCTGCCTGCCTATCGCAGCAGATCCCCCCGCACCCGTATCGCTCAGCGCTCTGACTGTCAGCGCCGGAGCTGAAGGAGGACGCCGCGTGGGTCCGGGAGCCGCGTGGCCCGAGTCGCAGGGCGGTGCGCGCTCGCCGTGTGACTTTCACAGACACTCCGGGATTCGGGAAGGAAGGAAGGACGATCCAGAAGCTCGGCGGGAGAAAGTGCAACTAAATATCCAAAGTGACTTGTGAGCAATGCGCTGGCATCATGGCCAGATGGTTCAAGGAACACTTACCGGGCTTCAAAACTACCAAGGCATCACCTCCGGCTCCCCCGAAACCCGACTACAAGTACTGCCACACGGCGGTGCCCAGCACGCCGGGCTGCCACCAGTCAAGCCCCGGGGCCACTTGTCATTACCCGAGTCCGGCTCAGCCGGACATTCTCGCCGCCTACAAACTACAGAAGGAGCTGGACTTCGAGGATCCCTACACTGGGGGCGGAAATATTTCCTTCTCAAGCCCAATTTCTGTCGGCTCGTCGGACATTAAGTACGTGTCGCCGAAGCACCGGCTCATTAAAGTGGAAACGCTGGAAAAAAGCGGCTGCCCACCGAATGCCGGCGTCACATCACCTCCGAGCGTCAGATCGCCGACTTCCCCTCCCGCCGAGCCGGACAGCCGGCAGGAAAAGGTACCGGCACCTGAGCTCGGAAACGGGCGCAACTTTGTATCGAGTGATCGCCTGACTCGTTAGCTGGGGGACCGCGCTCAAGTGTTTCCCAGGCCGTGTAAAATGCTTATTTTTTAACAAACTGCACGCCGAGTGCATAGAGTTTGATGTAGCCGAGCCCCGTCTCCCGGGCAGACGTGCTGCAGATTGTCGGAAACCGGAATAACAAGTTAAGCTGATCCTCCACGGTCCCATGTGCGGGCAGGGAACGTCGTTATTGCCGGCTATGCGTATATTAAGTTAACTTTTCTTCGCTTTAAATCGTCCCCGGACCTGGAGCTGCCATAAAAATCCATTTACGCTGACCGATGTTTTTCCTGTGTTTTAAAATAGTTATCTCTCGTTAAATATGTTGAAAATGGGATTTCGCACATGTCTTGCTTTCCGTAGTTATTTAATTTGGATGTTAAACTCGACGCACATTTAAAACAACGCTCCTTAAAGTCAGACTGCGATTTATTTGAAAACCTTTAAATAATCAACAACGGAAAGCAAAACGGACCGCGTGGAGTAACAGGAACGGAAAGGTTGCTGCTGGTCTACGCTACTTCCATCTGCTATTAAAGCTGCTGGTTTTGTTGACTTTTAGATGTGCAGTTAAATGCGCAGTTTTAATACTTCCCCATTTAAAAAAAATAAAATAAAAATAGTCCCAGTACAAAGCAGTGTACTAATAACAAATATACTTTCTTTTGCAAACTGAGGTACCTGAGTACCAGGGAAAAGGGGGCGTGTGAATTCGACGCCTTTTGCTGGGGAAAAACACATCGTAAGAGTGTGATTTAATGAAGCCGGACACCGCCCCTGTGCCTCAAATGGTGAGGTACCGGAGGCCCGGCGGCAGCAGAGCTACGCAGGCGGGCCGGGGAAGATATTGCTCAACGCGGCCAACACCCCAGCCGCATGGATCACTGGGGGCACGGAGCCGCTGATCTCCCGGCACTGGCGCTGCTTTTGCCACGATCGCCAGCTCCAGTCGGCCAGTCCCTGTGCGCTCGCAGTGGTTTGAGGCGGGGGCGGTCCGGACGAGCCCACGATACCGCCCAGAGCCTGCAGCGTTTGAAGCCTGGGGGGGTTCGGCCTGCGAGCCTCGGTCTCTGCCATTTGGGCCCGTGGCAGTGCGGGGGTGTGAGCTAGGCGTGGCTGCTTCTTGTGACTGGAGTGATTACAGTGGAGTGAGAAAAGACGAATTCCAGCAAACTGCTGCTGTGATGTGAAATAGTTTTTTTAAGGAGTAAGTTAGAAGCGCTCTGATAATCTTAGTAGGTTGTATGTGTCCATCCCTGCAACTTGTCCCACGTGGATGTGTGTTAAGCACTCTCAGGGCCAGATGTGCACATTTTTGTTGAAGGAATGTGAATATTTAACTGTTAGAGGTGGAGCACAGGTGCTGTCTGGCTTTGGTGAAGTTAGTGAACAGAATTTCAAACAGCCTGACGGTGCGTTTTTCTCTGGGTCCGTGCTGTGCGCGCCCCCCCCATCACTGACAGGGATGATCACCGTAATACATGGTAACAAAATCCGTGCACATGTTCAGTGCCCGTCAGCTGCACCTGCCACCTGGGGTACCGGGGGGGGGGGGGACTTGTGTTAAGCACTCCACTGAACGTCTTTCACAGTCTTACTCTTCTCTGAATATTTCCTCATCATCCCAAGGTAAAGTGCCTATTCTGCAATCCTAAAAAAAATTCCTTAATTTTCTTGTCTTATTTCCTGGGAGACTCTTTTGCCAAATACTAATGGCTCAAATTGAGCTTCTTGAAGCCGTTTATCAAAGAAGCAATCAGTGACACTCGTTGACGTAGGACTGAAGAATCATGGGAAATCACAGACTTTGATTGCTGATTTGAGGTTGATTTTTTTGCCCTCTTTCTATTTTGTTTATTGTGACAAAGCAGTCACTGTATGACGAGTGGCGGAGAGCCCGTTCTGCAGCAGCCCAGTTAATTAAAGCTGACCCCTAGCAGATATGAGGTCCTGAAGGACGGTGGAGACCCGATGAGGATGATCTCACAGGCAAAAATGAATGGAATCCCAGACAGTTAAGAAGCTTGCCTGATTGCCATGTCACGTGACGGCGCTGTGTGGTTTGCCGCATGTTATTTACTTGCGATTTTTTCCCCATTTCTACTCGAAGATTACAAATCAAAGAAGCAATTTCAGTTGAAAATAGCTGCCTACCCTAGTATTGATTCAATAAATATGTCTATTATGGCGTGATTAGGCTTTTATTCTAATGAAAATTGGTGCCTTTGTGTGTCGATCTACTGTTGCAATCTCAAAATGCACATTATATACAGGACAGTGCAGAAGCTCTAGACAGTCAAAGAAAATGCTTTGAGTTATTTATTTGGGTTAGTAAGTATATATTTGCTCTTAAAAAACACAATTTAACAATTGAATATATGACCTGGATGTATTGGAAGGTGGAAAGTTGCTGCAAACACTGGTGTGATCGTTTTGAAGTGACTAAGGTGACACTGACAAAGTAGTTTCACATCATTTAAACACGATTGTTGCGCAGTGCTGTTACTGTATACATGTATGTGTATTTTTGCTGCTTTAAACTGAAGAATCCTGGAACTTGTGTGTGTCTTGCAGGCCTTCAGACTCCTTGTTTCTTCCCCTGACATTTCGGATTGCAGATCCTCTCTCGCTTTGACACGTAGAGTGTGTGTATTTGTGACCTTTGACCATGCCTGGTTTCTTCAGTGCGTGCTGGAGCTGTCCCACCTCACAGTGTTTGTAGCATCACCCTCAGGTCTGCCAGACTCCTCGCTGCCTTCCTCTGTTAAGCTCCTGGCATATTGTTTCATAATCATATATTAATAACAAATTACCGTGCACTTGTTCAGCAGACTTGCATCTATAGGCAATTTTGTGCATCAGCCTGCTAAGATGTCTCACACTCTGCATCTAGAACAGCCTTCGCCTGTACATCTACCATGAGCTGCTGGTAGCTTGCAGGCCCGGACTGGCCATCTGCCGTGGTGGGCATTTTCCCAGAGGGCCGATGGGTTTGTGGGCTGTGGACTCCCCTCCCCCTCATACTAGGCAGAACTTCTCATGGGGGACCACAAACTCCATGGCTGATTTTTAACCCCAGTCTAGCCCAGGTAGTCATCCAGTGCCACACTGCAGAGTGCAGTGGAAGCAGCAGAATGGAGACTTCATTTCGCTGTTGCCCGAACCCCCCCCCCCCCCCCAGCATGAAACATTTAGTCCTCAGTTTACTTGCTTTTTAGAAGTACTGTAGCTCTCACTGTAAATAAGGCTGCAGAGTCCTGATCTAGATATTTTTTTGATGTTTCATAATATATCGTCCTTGTTTAAAGGGGGAGGGTTCTTGCGTTGTTGGTGTATAAATGATGTAGTCCCCTGACATCTGAAGAGCTCTCCCCTGTGACTCCTCTGGGAGATGTGGACCGCTCTAAGATCTTATCGTTCCGCTGGCTGCTGTACAGATCCCTGGCCAATGCCCTGCTGCTCTGATCCCTTTCCGAACCCGTTCAGTGCCGGTCTGTTGCTCGCCCCTTAATCGCTGTTTCTCCCCCCGCCTTGGATTGGCTGCATGTTGTCCTTTCCTTCTACATCCTCCCCAAACTGCTGCTACAGCCCAGTCTCGGCTGCCCCACCTCTTCTAGGAAAATCAGAGAACAAATGGCGAAATCCCAGGACAGGGAAAGATCTGGTTTCCCGGTTCCTAACGGGTCCGTTCTGGCTGGCTGCCTTCTTTTTCAGAGCCTTTAAGTGATGCGCGGCGCTTTGTGGTGAATTGACAGAAGATATAGGCTTTCTTTTACGTCTGAGATTTTTTTAGCTCCTTCTACAGACATTGCAGCATGACTTGTGCTCCACAGAAGCGTGTAATCCGAGCCAATGCTGTATCTAACGGCAGGGCAGGTGCCTGACTAAGTGAGAGGCCCTGAGTGTCAGGCCTGTCCTTCCAAGCCAGTGGCTTCCTTCCTCAGGCTCCTTTGGGGTGTTTCTTGTCCTCCGTGAGCTTTCAGCACCGCTGACAGGCTGGAGTCCAGCTCGCGGCTGCTTCCCCCTCGTTTACAGTGCCCTGGCTTTGTGAGAGAACCTCGAAATCCGCCACACGTGGGTTGGAGGCCTTTCGCTCATGAACGATTGGCAAACAGGAAGTCCTGCTTTTGGAAAGGACACGGTTCACATATTGGGAGGCGCTTTTGTCCCCAGCTGTCTGCAGTGGAATCCAAATTATCCAGTGAACAGTAGGTGTTTTGCAGAAATCTGTCATGCTGTTCCACTGAAAAACAGTACTTGTTATACATATATGTATACATGTTACTTTAAATATAATGTTTAGGGTTTACAAATGTGGGGAGTTGTATTTAAAGTTGTTTCCTCTTTGCACTGATTTGGATGAAATATAGTGGCACTATGTGCAAATATCTGGCAATGTGGATATATGCCGAACATTTAAAATTAAAAATTAAAATGGATAAAATTTAAATAAATTAAAATTGTGATAAATGTGATGTGAATGCAGGAAGGGCTTGTTTTCTGCAGGGTGTGGGTTTGTGAGGGGAGAGACTTGCTTGTTAAAAAGTCCTGGTCTCTCGTCACCTCGCAGAACCTTACACTGCACTTTGTAATACATATAGGTGAACTGAGAGAGATCCTTGTCATTGGGCTGTTTTCCTGAAATGCCTCTTCTCTTAAACAGATAACTAATCTTGTAATTCAGTCGTGACATTATCTCTTTTAAAGTTGCTTGTGAAAATGCTAAAACCTTCATTGCATTTAGTGCAGCAGCACCCAGGGTGGTTCATGTGTTCATGTGAGCTGAGTCCTCTTCAATTTCACCTGTGGAAACAGCCTTTATAAATCACAGTTGATTTTTAACCCTGAGATTCCCGGCTGCCAACCTCCCAAACCATCTGTGTCACCGATTCCTTTGCTCCTGTGAGCAGTCGGTCACCTTGGCTGCTCACTCC